CCCTTAATAGAAGATGCCCATCTACACTGCCATTCAGTTATAAGCTCGCCCTAAACGTCCGTTATTGGCTCAAACAATCTAGAAATTTTATTTCTATCACGTTGTGCTAGATAGCTTGATGACAAATTAGGCCTCGCACTGTAGTACATAGCAGCATGTCGCTGCACCTCAAGATCTACCAGAAGTACGCCCGCGAGGACAGGTAGGGCCTCAGTGCTAACCGTCCTATAAGCCTTATACAGGAAAATCAAGGCTAGACACTGGCCTTGGAGAAGTTTTCGCCGTACCGCGCCTATTGTGGCCCTATCAGCCCAGATAGCTGCCCCGTAGCACACGCATCCCAGGTAGGTTGCTCCGTATACCTCTATGATCCTGAGCGTAAGATAAGAGAGGCCCCAGGTGGCTTTTGAAATTCGCGTCAGCGCATAGAAGTCATTTTTGGCTTTCTCACTAATAGCCTTGTTAATATGTTCAATGAAAGAAAAGTTTTTTTCCAAAACTAGACCGAGGTAACAAACAGACTCCTTTCGTTTTACGGAAACGTTGTTAAAAATAAACGGCCACGACTTTAGATTTCCTTTAAGTCGCATAAGCCGCGGATTTACACGCTTCTATTATCATTTTATTTGAGACTTTGTCTTTACCGGATGATTTACTCAAAAGCAAAGTTTTAACAATAGTGACGAGCTCGTTGATGGACGGAAGATCAGACACTGGTGATTCAGGCGGTATAGCTGCCCACGACCTAATCTGTTGATGGTAATCATTATCTGTCTCGAATACATCGTCAGGGACAAGTTCGTCGAGTAGAACTTCCGTTGTCTCCTCAATACCAGTGGTGTGAACATTGTTGACTTTTATGTTCTGTACGAATGCCAGATCGACGGATCTTTTGGCTTTGAACTCATGGTATAGAGGCGACCACGGGCCCTCCTTATCTAATTTCTGTACAACCCTCCGCAGCAAATCACCCTTGGCTTTCTCCACCGAAACCCTATAGCGTGTCCTGGCAACTCTAAACGCAATCAGTGCTTCATCAAAAATGGTACCGGTTACCTTAAGTTTCTTTAGTCTATTTAACTGTTTGCGCGCTTTACGAAAGCATTTACGTTGTTCGACTAGACAGTTATTCCACCAGTCGCATCTACGCGTACTTGTCAAAGACCTGCGACCAAAAGCAATGTCGGCACAGTAAGTAAAGGCATCCGACATGATTTCAGCACCCTCCTCGGCCGAGAGATCTCTGCGAGTGAAGTCTCTGGCTTGGGATGCAAATAATGAACTAAAAAAGTTCCAGGTAGGACACGCCATCTATCCAAGCTAACGTCCGCACTAGAAAGTGTGACGTCAATACAAGATTCGCCCATTTGGCTGCAAAAAGTAGGTGGTGCATCAGGGGTGTTATGAATGGAGAGATTCATTTCGGCAATGAATTCTTTAACAGCACAGCGCCGTTCCATGTCAGTAACCCTAACCTTGCCATACCACAAGGATGAAGACGCGTTAACGTCAGTCAGCACCAATGATAATTTTGGTGCCCGCAAGTGATTGCAAGACGTGACGGAGGGGATGAATATGAGGAGTAACTCAGGCAGAATATTGAAAGTAATAGCTCACAACGTAAAGTTTACGATTTCCCGAAGCAATCTCCGCGACGGCACAGTGCGACGTCATTAAATTAGATCTATCGCTTATACCACTGGGAGTGCTCTGAGGAATTGTTTGACCTGATACCTGTACCTGCCTCATCTTTTCGCCATCGACCCTTAACACAGAATATGCATCCCCACCATATAGATGGTTGGCAGGCCACAACTGTGCGCTTCTCACGATGCTTTCTGCCTCGCACAGCAAAACTGTGGAATGATCTGTCGTCGGCGGTATTTCCGAACCGATACGACTTTCAAACCTTCAAAAAAAGAGCGTATTCCTTTTTAAAAGGCCGGCAACGCACCCGTTACCTCCTCTGGTGTTATTGGGTGTCCATGGGCAGTGCTGATCGCTTACCATCAGGTGATCCGTCTGCTCGTTTGCCTCCTATGCCATAAAAAAAGATATAGTCAAACGAACAGCCAAGCTGAAGTGGCAATGGGCGGGACGTGTAGCTCGCAAACACACCTCGTGGTGCAAGGATCTGCTGGAGTGGTGACCGTGGTTATACAAACGACCTGTTGGTAGATCGCAGATGAGATGGAAAGATGACATCAAAGAGGTATCGGGACAAAATTGGTTACTAACAGCCGAAAACAGAACTAAGTGGAAAGATTTGAAGGAGCCCTACATAAAATTGGTTGAAAAAGGCTTGAGATGATGATGCTTGATGATATGTCGTACAAGAAAAAAAAACAAATATTCCTCGGAACCTGTTGTGTTTGAGATTTGGAAGGTGGAGGGATCCAACCAAGATCATTCCCACCCCACCCCTTGATCAGGCAATCTACTTTTACGGGGGATATGTGCACCTAGGGAGTGTTGAAAATTTTATTATATTTATGCTCGGACCTCTAGTTTTCGAAATATTGCAAGTCTAAATTCGCCTGTGGCACAGAGTTTTTCTAGAATTTCTAGGTATGTCAACTACGCAAGATATGTAAAAAGAAAACAACGACAACTTCTTTCAAATTTTATTTCAACAGCAAATTCAGGCATTATACATAAACAATTATCCATAACATTGTATTTGTGCAAACAAATAAAAGTATGTAATAAGAAACCAAAGTTTCTGTTCTAAGGAATGTTTATAAAAATATATTGCACTGGTATTTACTACAGCTATATAAATATCAATTATATTATACAACTAATGGTCTACTCTATTTTAATTTTTCACACTGGCAATTTTAACAACCAAAATTATAACAGTGTTGGCAACACTGAGACTTTGGACCGCTTTTCTTGTTGCAGAGTAGGCCATGGTATAACTTGAGACTAGAATTATTTATTAATGACAAGTTGAACACATTGACAATGTATGCATTTACTAACAGAGCTGTAACTTTATAGATTTTCTATGAATTGTGTAAATCTTTTTATTTAAATATGTGGCTACATAGAAAAGTACAATAATTTAAGGTTACATTTCTAGGAAGGCACAGTCGAAGCGTATCGACGCGTAAATCCAGTCAAATCACACGTATACGCGCGTATTCGGACGTCTTTTTAAATCTCTGAAGTAATATTTGCTTTATGCTGTGAACATTAAGTTGAGTTTGCAATGTTAATAGTTGTATTTTCGCGACAATGTGCTTCGACTCTGCGTCCGTATAAACTGATTCTTATTCTCTGATAAATATTTCTCATACAAAATATTTTCAGTTTCAAAGGCTTTATATAAATTACTGATAAGTTAATCTGGCAGATACTGATTGTCATATGAGATTAAAAATTCGGCTATAAATGTCTATTAATTGATTCTATAACTATGAATAAGGCGAACATCTATTGGTGTTTCATAAATTAGTGCGAGTAAGATACGCAATGTATACAATTACACATACAGCTATAATATTATAATTCTTGATAAATTATAACATAAAATAAATAATGGATTTACCTATAATAATGATGATATAAATCCGTAATTTTATTTTTTATATTCTGATCCTGACGAATTAGTGGAAAGAATGAAAATTTCGAAAATAAAAAAGTATGTTCCCTAGAGCACGTTTTACCAAATCTAATCTTTCAAGCTTGTATTTCCCAAACTATATAATCAATGTTTGCACACATACTCAAGTCAACACACACAGAGAAAAATCCTTAAGAAAAAACTTAATAACAAAAACACATCTATACTAAACTCTTCAAATCGTTTAACCAATGACTGATCTTATAAATTAATAAAAATTAAAAATAAGTTAAACAATTTAATTAAAAAATTAATCTGATATAACAAAACTAAGATTTCAAATGCAATTCTTTTTGTACTATATCTAAGTATTATTAAAATATGAATTAATACTTCAGCGACCATATATTATACAGAGTGATACATAATATTATATATTATATTGTGTTTACTATACATTGCATTCATTAATAAGTTGCAAAACGATATTAAGTAAATTGTAGTCCCATTGTGGAAGTAACGAGGACAGTATCAATGAAACTACTTATTTACATATTAATTTATGTTAAAAGAAGTCACAAAAATGTTCAAACTTTTACACCTACTATTATCTCTCTGCATCACCCTAAGGTTGACTGTTAGAGAATGCGACTAGGCATTAAGTCGACTATTGTATTGAACAAGAAGTGTAAATAAACAAAAGGCACCGTCGAAACGTCGACAAAATAAAATTGTCTGTCAGTGAAGCTAGGTGCTCGTTCCAAAATGGAAAATTATAACAATATATTTGATTTACTCGTAACTATTCGCGTCGCTCAACGAATTTAGTTACTCAAATAATTTCAAGCCACATTGAGGCCTATAAATAAGAGGCTGTTTTAAGTGTCGGAGTGTCATGCTTAAGCACCGACCGAAGTGATACCTCGGCCTCGCAGAAAACCGACGTGAAGCAACGCTTGCGTTGTGTTTCGTCGTGTGAGTGAGGTTACCGGATGCCTAACTATCTCCCCTTTTCCAATGTCCTCAACCCCTGAATCCCTGACATTCCTCAAATTCCTAATTTTTTCTTTCACCCTTACTCAAGGTTCTTAGCAATTTCTCGCCAGTTACTAGCTCAAAGTTATCTACTAAGGTACCGCTAGATATGAATCTAGCGGTACCTTAGTCCACACACCGGTGGCGTCCAATAAGTAGACCAAATTACTAAGCAACATATCACTAGTTCCATCCCGAACGGAACCCTTCTTTGTATGATGCAAAAATTATCGTTTCGGGTCTGGATGTCAAACTGTGTTTGTACAAGCACCAACGACACAGAAAAAAATATATAAATCAAAATCACCTATCAAGTAGTACTACCCTCATTACATCACAATGGGTACTACGCAAGCTTACAACCAGTATATTACCGTATAGCCTATGTACCTGAAGCTTACCTCTGCATATGCAGCGTATGTTGGTATTTGACGAACGCTATAGCTGCCAGCTCCTTGCAAAACTCTTCGAGAACTATCAGGCTTTCTACTAACTGGTTGTGGTCGGCACTGGAAGATTAACAAATATGTCATATTTATTGTAAAGTCATTCATATATCTGATTTGTTGTGTTATAAATACGAAATTATTGTAAACTAGCTACTTCCGCGCGGTTTCACACACTCTGCTCAGCTCCTATTGGTCATAGCGTGATGTTTTATAGCTTATAGCCATCCTCGATAAATGCGCTATCCAACGCAAAAAGAATTATTCAAATCAGACTTGTAGTTACGGAGATTAGGGCGTTCAAACAAACAAACAAAAAAACAAACTCTTCCGCTTTATATAATAGTATAAGAGTATAAGATTCATGTTTTATTGTAACTAGGTATATCAAGTATCGAACTTGAATGTTGTATCACGAGTCTTTTGTTTTGTATCGTATCTCTTAGGGCCGATTTTTCAATCAACAGATAATTCTTAACTGTAGAATAAAAAATGTGAGTATGGAAGAATTGTCAAAAATTATAAGTTATTTTCCTCGGATAAAAACTGGCGTTGGAAAAATTGACCCTTAATCAACATAATCTTTGTCACGTTTTTTTCTATATATCTAAGACTACCTAATCAGGTATTATTTAGAATAAATATCTAACTGAGATATGATTAATGAAAAACATTATTAGTCGATTAGGTTGTAACCTTATACTTTTTGTTTTTTTTTTTAATCGATTTATTTTGGACGGGGTTTTTATCCTAGCTATTGGACAACCTTATACTTACTTCTCATCATAACTAGGATCCTCACTCATGAGCCAGAGCCGAGTATTCTCAATAATCTTCTTATAGTTCCTTAACCTCGGGATCTCCATTGTCAACCGCCGCGCCACCTCTTGGAGGGTTTTGAACAACGTCGGGGTTTTCTTAGCCGTCGGTAACATTGGGTTAAGCAAATACTCGTGCAGATTTGGATGGGGCAACAATGCTAATTGAGATATAATTGAAGTCAGATGCAAATTGACTTGGTAAGGTTGTGAAGGCATATTTGCAAGGAGTTTGAATATCATTTTGAAGAAGATTCCTTCATCAAATTCTTCTTCAGTTTGCGAACTTTGTGAGGTGAGATCTCGGGATCTTAAGACTAGTCTTTGTGAGAACTGTTTCGGGTCTTTTTGTTCTAGTTTGATTGGCTCGAAGGCCTCGTCCAGGTGTATGTCAGCTTCAGGTCGGCTGTCGTAGCTGTGTGTGGAGCTGGCAGTAGTATCTACACCGTTGTAGTCTGCTGGCCAGTTGAATGTCGAAGTCGCGTCTAGCCAGTACTGGAATTGTTATGAATGAGATACTAAATTGGTTTGTACTCGATTACTTGTACATAAATCGACAAAAAGTAATAGTATTTCATAGCAGAAAATGCTTGATCGTTCCAATAACTTTCATTTTAGCCTGAAAATACTTGCTTGATAATCCGATCCTAAGTACCGAGATTTAAACCGCATATTAGGTTTTGTTTATCAATACGTCGGAATATCAAACAGGCTCTTAACATCTCACTCTTACGCTGATATCGGTTTATTAATACGGGCCTAAGACCGCTTGAAAATTCAAGCATTATCTAGAAGTATACAAGACTGATTACAATGAATTTCAATGTTTTTTAGTTGTTATAACACGAACGTATTTTCTTTTCGTTTATTCTCAGTATCGGACAAATCAACATCGCTTACCACCAGGCGAGATGGTGGCCAAACGTCAAGCTATCAAGTATAAAATAAAATCTAACCAAAAAGAAATTATATTCTATCTACATACTAGCTCGTAAATGTCCGATTATGAAAAATCCACAACATTTGTTCATACAAAAGTAGTCTCTAAACATCGGAAATAAGGTCTATAGTGGTGTAAGTGGGGAGCGGTCATCGGAGACTGCTTGAATCTTGACCAGTAAATCAGAGAAGTAAGAATCAGTATTAGCACAAGCAAAACTCCAATTACGGAACCGACTAAATAGGGATTTCCAATTTCTAAACTTCACAGACTTTCTACATCTACCCTTTTATGGAATAAAGGTCATGAATGCTATGCTACTACTTATATATTTACCTGATATCGTCTATGGGCATCGTGTATATAATGTTCGTAGTCGGCGCCCACCGGGTCGGAGAGTATCGCCCGCGGCAAAAGTAGCAGGAAACTGAAAACAACGGGCCAATGAAACAACCGTTCAATTCAATACATTTAATCTCATATGTACACATACGTATCACATACAAAATATACGCAATATAACATACAAAATCACAGATCTTATAATGCTAAAAAGTCTATTTCTTAAATAAGACGGGTACGGTGTATATCATTCATGATACTTTCAACGCTGTTTAATTACTGTATAATACACAAAAAATACAAACCGCTGATTTCTTTAATGTACAGTGACCAGCAGTTCAAACTACACCAATCTGTCAAAATTATTCATTAGATTTTCAACTTAATGACAATGTAATAAAGTTGAAGATTTAATAGAGAAATGTAACAGAAAAGGATAGGTTAACCTACTGGCTACCGTACTTGGATTATTTGTTAGATAGTAAATCGATACTTTTAACTAATATAATAATTATATCTTTAGTAATTACAACGTCACCGTACCCTTCCGATGTGAAATAGACATATAAGTTTATCACTAAATTATGTATAATATTATTTATGATACAGTTGTGTATTAATTTGTTACTTTTTGTTTGTATATAATAAAAGCAAAGGAGTCACAGATTTATATACTGATAAAATTATATATTGGCAGCATATCAAGCTTGCAATGTGGTGTAGAGATGCAACGAATAGTTGTTTGGCCGGATACCGGCCTGACTACCAGCCGAATATTCGGTATTCAGCCGCCGAATATTCGGTCGGCAGTGTGATACCTACATCTGAGTTTCGATGGTGCGTGTCGTGTACCGCCACGCCGCTCGCCGTGCAGGTTTTGCCATGTTATTATAAAAAGTTAATAAAAAGATTCAGTTACAACTGTGTCTTTATTTAGATTTCATTTATAAAATCTACCAAGTTTACTATCCGGTATCCGGCCGGATAGTAAATAACTGATAAGCCGGATACCGGATAGTAACCGAATATTCGGTGCATCTCTAGTGTGGTGACAGCATAGTAGAATACATTTCACAACCCCTCTTTCCATGGGTATCTTAACGAAGCCGCGGAAGACTTAACGAGTTGCTGGTTGCGGGGGAGTAGGAATGGGATCGTTTTTAGTCAGTAAGAGTCTGACACTCCCTCTCGCCTAACCCGGGAAAAGACACAAGATAATTTTCTCCCTCAAAAAATGGGTGTCTTAAAAGCCAACTACTGTTATTTACATGTATGTGTATGCATAGCTAGATTTATGTGTCTGTCATATACAAATAGCAGCTCAGCTTAAAGTACTTGTCAGGTACACGGACAAAACTATTTTAAATACGCACAGGCCAGCAACTATTAATTTAGTTAGTAGTATGTGCGTTTGTCAAGTATTCTCCAATTATTATTGAAAAAGAAAGCTAACCATAAAGATATTAATATTTTTGAATACGACAAAATATCTCAAAATACTCACAGAAGAATTATATATATATGTGTATGTCACTGAACTTCTCTCAAACGACTGGACCGATTTTGATGAATTTTTTTGTGTGTGCTCAAGGGGATCTGGGAATGGTTTAGATTCACAAACCAGCCCGGTAGATGGCGCTGCAGTCGAGGTTTAGGTTATTTATCCTAAACAGCTGAACTAATTTGAATGAATTTTTGTTTATACATTCAAGTGGATATGCAGGACAACGTCTGTTGGGCCCGCTAGTACATATATAAATCAAATTTGGTGAAAGAGTTGGATATTGTACTATATTTTGGCTACCACCTCTTACCGCGGGTAAATCGGTCTAAGGGACTACACATTTGACAGGTACCGGACAGCAGCTCTCTCTAATAAACCTAAATCTTTTAAACTGCTAACCTATCAGCTAAGAAATCGGGTACTTGCCAACTAATCAAATTCAATACTTTTTTTCGAACTGTCAAAAACTACAGTTTTCTATAAATTTTGTACGAGACTGTGTATTGTGACGTCACGTTTTTTTAGCGTCAAACAGCATAGTTATTTCTTAAAAATTTGCTGGGAAAATACTAAAATTAAGTTGGTTATAAAATCAATTAATTTTATTTTTTTAAAATTTTATTGTATTAAACAGTTGAAATATTTAGTTTTTAATTAGGGAAAGTATACAATTATGACAAACCTCTCTTATGCAGAGTAGGTATAGTCTAGCAGTAAATTGTCACAAGCAGTTGATATGATCATCTTATTATATTGTATCAGTTTTAAAAATAACAAATTAATACACAAATTACACGCCGCATGATACATTACTCATTAGCCTCTAGCATAGGAATACATCGTTTCTTAGACTCTGGCACTAGTGTTGTGACATTATATCGATAAAATATCGACCCCTAAAATAAAAAAAAATTGGAAAGATTACGGTAATATACTCTACCTAGCATAATGTATTATAAATAGTAAAAAAATAACCGATACAAATATTCAAATAATAAATTCTATAAAATCGATAATTTCCATCAAACAAGATTCTTAAATTCAGTGCATTTTATCATAATAATATAAATAATTCGTATAAATTAATAATTTCTGTTCCAAATATACAAAAAATAATAAAACATGGCCAAATCATAAATTATGTTGAAGGATCAGCTATTTAAAAATGTAGCAAATATAATTAACATTTCTATAAATATTGTATATACATAATTAATTCTATTTACAATTACGTTATGAGCAACCATTTTGAAAAGCACGGAAAATATCGCGTTTACATAATTATGCATTAAATACGTATTGCCATTTTATGTCCAAACTAAATAACTTGGACTAAAAAGATTATATTTAAAAAACTACCAAAATTTTTACAAAAGAGATAATATATGAAGTTGCCAGTCAGTTATACAGGATGTATCTGTGAATATTTACATCCCTTCAACCACGTGTTCTACCAATCATTTTAAACAATACTTGTTCTATGGCTTTTCGAATTGCAGACTGCACGGTTGGTGCGGTGGCTGGGCAACCGGCTGCCGTGCAACTTTGTGTGATCCACAAATTGTTGTTTCGGGTCTGAGTGTCATTGTGTATGTGAACTTGTATGTTTGTAAACGCACCCACGACACAGGAGAAAATCCTAGTGTGGGGCAACGTTTTAAAAAAAAAATGTATAAAAAAATTTCAACTTTCATACGAAGTCGGTCATGTAACGTGGTCATTATTGGGAGTCGAAAAATCTTTTGAAATTCGAAAACTCGTAAAACGAAAATGTTATTCAGAATGATTGGTGCACGTGGTTAATGGGGTGTTAATGTTCACAGATACATCCTGTATATTATATTATATTGTAATGAATCAATTCTTATTCGTTATTACTGACGCGACGTAAAGAATAAACGCGAAATATTCCGTTTTTTTACGATTTTTATATCTAAATACTTAGATGCCAGTTTAAATTAAAATTATTTTACACGTTATTTACAACTAATCGAACTTAAAATTAATGAGTTTATGGCAAGTCCACTTGTACGTGACGTGTGATTATGACAACCGTGAATTATTAAAAAAAGTAATTTTAATATGTCTGTCCTAAAATAAGAAAAACAAAATGCGCCATTGATAAAAAAAGATTGGTTATATTCATTATTTAACTTTTATATATGTAAATAATAAGTAATTTTTCTATATTTAAGGACAAATAAAAAAATGTTTGTCCCTACCTACCTAACGAATAGAAAAGGTGATTTTAAAAAACCCGACACCTGTTTAATATTTAAACACAAGCTATTGCCATCCTTCACTGACACAGAAGGAAAGAAAGAGAGGAACGAACAAAAATTAATTGTATAATTGTATATAGAGTGAGAAATCTTTCGTCTCTTTTCGTCCTAGTATATTAGATAAATACAGCAATAGACTTCGTTTAAAATCAGTGTTAAATTTGATACTTTAATCGTCTATTAGCTTGTATTAATTTATGGTGCTCTGTGCTTTACTTTTAATTTTAATATCATTACAGATTAGATTAGCTTTTTTACCAATTGGGTACTTGCCAACTAATCAAATTCAGTACTTTTTTCGAACTGTCAAAAACGACAGTTTTCTATGAATTTTGTACGAGATTTTGTATTGTGACGTCACGTTTTTTTAGCGTCAAACAACATACTTTTAAAAAAATGCTGAAAAAATACTAAAATTAAGTTGGTCATAAAATCAATTGATGAAAGTGTGATTATTTTTTTACATTTTATTGTAATATATTTTTGATTAGGGCAAGTACACAATTTAACCTCCTTTTAGCCAATTTAACCTCTTGACTACTAGTATATAAGACACAGAATAGAAAATACATTGTGTCAAGCGTGGATTGGCGTTCCGGCACACGGTGGGTTAAATTAGCTTTAGGAAGAATAAGTTAATTCATTTAAGAAGAAGATAATTATTCAATTCTTGATACTGTTACTTCTATTGAATTTCTGTCAATAACCTCCTAGATTAATTCTGAGACTTTGAAATAAAGAGACTGTTAGAGGTCCTCTATTTATTATTGTATACGTGATTTCACAGAGCTGCCTATAAGTTGGAGTTGTCAGAACAAACAATAAATATTAGGATAATAAAAAATAAAATCTAGGTGTAGGAAATATACCTAGTTAATTTTCCATTGAATTTGGATCTTATTGTTTAGAAAATTCGTCTCACTTGTAAAAATATACATCATTATATACGCCTTTTATCCCCGGCGGGGTAGGCAGAGGTGCACATATACGGCACTTAATATCACTGTACAATGTAACACCCACTTTTTACTATTTACGTTATGAGTCCCATGTAATAGGGGGTGGAGCCTATTGCCATATACCGGGCACAATTCCAGGCTCCGTGCGCTATTACTGAGATGTTTTCCTAAAAAAACCCAGTAATACAAATATAACAAATCCATATTTTCATCATATCTCACAGTTACCTAAAAATCTCACCATTTTTGGAAAACTAACCTCACTATTCAATATTAAAAAAAATGTTACCATCACAAAAAATATAAAATTAATCACTATCATTATTTAGTCTGGCAGTATTGTCGGTGGGTAAAATCGATTCACTTTCGTTTTTCATCATTTCTTCGATGATTTCTTTGATTCGTATTAGCCGGCTAAAAATTTTAAGCTTTTGTTAAAAATGCGTTTTTATTTAAAGCTGTATTAAAGTTGTGTATATAAAAAGCTATTTTTTGCAAAGCAATTACCAAATACCCGCATAGCTGTGTTTTTTTAAACAATTTTATGGATATTATGTAGGAATATAAGTGAATGCTATCTGTTGATATGTTAAATCTAGGCTTTCCATGTAACACATAACAGAATTTTAGAACAGGTTGTATTTAAGTGACGCTAACACGAGACGGTACTCTAGATCAAGCCTAGGAGTAGTAGGAGTAAATTGCACCTTTATCCACTCTTTAGCAACACGTAATGCTACGGACTCACGACGCGGTTTTTAAAACTCACGAGAATGCAGTTTTCTGCGACCCCGCAGCCGGCGCGGTTGCGATTATTACCCGCAAACTTGGCGGTTGATTATCGTAAGACGGGCGGGCGGTTAAACAATCAGTTGAGTTCCAGAGCGGCCTCCCATTGCGACGGGCGGCCAACCGACCGCAGCGGGCGGGTGCGGCCGGCCCGGGACCGCAAACAGCCGCACTGGCCGCGGCGGACCACGCACCGTCCAATGTGGTTTATTCTTTTACTGACACTGTGCAACACACGACGCCGACACAGAGCAATAGTCATGATAATTAGTGTTTAAATTTATTACTTACATTATGTATTTATAGTATTTTAAGTTAAAATTGTATTTTAATATGGGCCTTCGTTGCCTGATGCAAATAAATAAAAAAAAAACCCGCCCGCGGCGACCACGAGAAACAATCGCTTGGTGAGTCCATAGCATAAAAGAGCAGCGAAAACGATACGGTAAGATTTCTTAATCAACTTGTAACCATAAAAGTTCTTCTACACCAAAAACCAAAAATACTCCTACAAATATCAACAGACAGCACAAACTTCAGATAATACTACATACTTATCAATATACAATCGCTACCAACCTGTTAATAACTCGATGTATGTTATCATCCCCGGGCCGTAGTCCCGGTTCCAGTCCTTCATGCGCCAGTATGTCAGTGATCTGCTCGTTCACGTGGTCCTCGTGTTGTAGCTGTTTCATCGCTTCCCTGGAGAATGGAGTAAAGAAATTGAGATTACCTATTTTGTGTATCATTTTAATTAATATTCCCGAGATTCCCGGGTCGGGCAAAGTATTATTGGGTTTAAAAAAAAATCTCAATAGTAGCACTGAGTCTGGAATTGAGCCCGATATATGGCAATAAGCTCACCCCCTATTACATGGGACTCATAACATAAATCGTGAAAAGTGGGTGTTACATTGTACAGTGGCATTAAGTGCCGTAATGTGCACCTCTGCTTACGCGCGATTTCACCCGCTCTGCTCGGGTCCTATGGATCGCAGCGTGATGTTTTATAACCTATAGCCTTCCTCGACAAACGGGCTATCCAACACAAAAAGATTTTTTTAAATAGACCTAGCAGTTTCAGAGATTAGCGCATTCAAACAATCAGACAAACAAACAAATAAAAAAAGCTTTTCAGCTTTATATAATAAACTAGCTTTTACCCGCGGCTTCGATCGCGTCACAAAAGGATAAAAGTAGCCTATGTGACATATACCAATACACACAGCGCCATCTATACCAATACTTTTGTTTTCCCTCGAGAATATAAAGAATTTTCCGGGATAAAAAGTACCCTATTATTTAATCCACACTTCTAACTTTACCTCTGCAAAATTTCAAAGCAATCGGTTCAGTAGTTACGTCGTGAAAGCGGAACAAACAAACAAACAAACTTTCCGATTTATAATATAAGTAACGATAATAAGGTTATTAGACACAAACCTGTTATATTCCCGCTCGCGTCCGATAGAGAGGTCGTTGAGGCGGTCCCTCTCGTCGTCGTCGGCGGCGGGCGGCGCGGCGCAGTACCCGCGCGACACCACGCGCGCCAGCACCACGCGGTGGATACTGTGCTCCGTGCCCTTCTCTATTATCGTCTGCGAAATAATTACGATGTAATAGGCATGGCGACTATTTTTTAATTTTTTGTCCGTCTTTTAGATATTTTAAAAATCTTCGATACGTATTTTTTCTTTTTTCTCGTATCCAAAAAAACATGTAGATATTTTGAGTTAAAATGACGCGTGACGTCACAATTAGGTACGATTTCTCCGTAAGTGTGACGTCAACACCCCCCACTCCCTAACTTTAATGCGGAATAACTACGTATTCTTCTGTTAATTTGATAAAACAAAAAATACGTGTCTGATATTTTCGTGCGATCTTAATGACGGACTAATTACTTTTTTGATTTTTTTACCCTGTCGACACGCCTATTGTTAAGTTTAATTTAATTAATTGATCGCAACTTTTATGTTATGTTGCTTGATCTTGTTCGATTGTTATAATTTTTTTTTATGTAACATGTTCTAACCGTTTTATGTGCATGCTGTGTTAGCCAGTAAGTAGCTGTTACACTTACCAAAGTATTATTTGTAATGATGTAATGAATGTATGAGTGTAAATAACTGTTGGTTAACCCAATAAATAAATAAAAAGTCCATAAGACATAAAATAAGTCTAAGAGAATAATAACACAAGTCCTTGCAGATACTGCTTCAGCCCATGAATCTGAACAATTTTCGTTTTGTTTTTATTGGACATAAAAGGAATGCTGTACTTTAGTGGCAGTTAGTTTACCTACACTTAGTTTGATGTTCAACTTACGCGCGATAACTTACGCGGGCAAGGGGTCTCGGGTTTGATTCCCGGGTCGGGCAGAGTACTACAGGGTTTTAAAAAAATTGTCAGTGGTAACACGGAGTCTGGAATTGTGCCCGGTATATGGTAATAGGCTCACTCCATATTACATGGGACTCATAACATAAGTAGTGAAAAGTGGGTGTTACATAACATAACATAACATAACATCACGCCTTTTTATCCCCGAAGGGGTAGGCAGAGGTGCACATTATACCACTGTACAATGTAACACCCACTTTTCACTATTTATGTTATGAGTCCCATGTAATAGGGGGTGAGCCTATTGCCATATACCGGGCACAATTCCAGACTCCGTGCTACTACTGAGAATATTTAAAAAACCCAGTTATACTTTGCCCGACCCGGGAATCGAACCCGAGACCCCTTGTCCGGCAGTCGCACTTACGACCACTCGGCCAACGAGGCAGTCAAGTGGGTGTTACATTGTACAATAGCATTATGTGCTGTAATGTGCACCTCTGCCTACCCCTTCGGGGATAAAAGGCGTGATGTTATGTTAGTTGTTTAATGTTTAATGCGTTTTTTAATAGATAGAGTGATTCTTAAGGAAGGTTTATACGTATAATACATGCATATTGCACCCGTGCGAAGCCGGGGCGGGTCGCTAGTTTATAAGATTAGCAGGATCGGATGGTTGGATAAACAATGACTTCACTTGTTTCATACGTTACATTATTATAAGGATATCTTGCTAACCTATGGAATTTCTCGTTCTCCATAGGAATCTACACCTTGGAATGAGCAACTAGCTTCACTTCTAAATTTTTGTTGTTGACGTTCAAAAGTGCCATCCTGGTCTAATTGAAATAAATGATTTTGACTTTGACTTCAAGATACGTACTTCAAAGAACCGCAGAGTCTCGAGCGTGAGGTCGTGGTTGTCGGTGAGACAGTTGTTGACGAGCGCCAGGAGGAGCGGCCACTCCGACACCTCGCCCTCTCCTACGAGCCAGTTCGAGAACTCTGCAATAAACAATTAACATATAAACTATTTGAATATAATACTAATATAATAACTGCCTGACTGCCGGGCAAGGGGTCTCGGGTTCGATTCCCGGGTCAGGCAAGATTTACTGAGTTAAAAAAAAATTCTCAGTAGTAGCACGGAATCTGGAATTGTGCCCGGTATAATAATATGGCAATAGGCTCACCCCCTATCACATGGAACTCATAACATAAATAGTAAAAAGTGGGTGTTACATTATACAGTGGCATAATGTGCATCTCTGCCTACCCCTTCGGGGATAAAAGGCGTGATGTTATGTTATATTATGTTATGAATATAATACTAATGTGTAACGAACACACAGCGCCATCTAGTATAATTTATCCAAAACAACCACAAACAACTACAAATATTATGAAGATTGAGCACACATATAAACCATCTGCCTTGATAAGCAGAGTTGTCTTCGAACAAATCATCATTCTACTAGCTAGAAGATCAGATCCTCAAAAGGCCACTACAGAAAGAACTTGCACGGTTCTCACACATAATCTTTTTATACATATTTGTCTGGACTTTAAAAGAGACAGACCTCTGAGTTTGTTTCGGCATTTCTTCTCAGAGTAGTCAGTTAGGAAATGTCGACCTCATCGTTCGCTAGATAAAATTGACGTGTAAAAGTGCTGCCTTGTAGCCTATTTGCAGAAATAAATTCACTTGTTTCACTTGTTTCACTTGTTTCACTTGTTTCACTTGTTTCACTTGTTTCACTAGAGTTCGGTAGCCTAGCAGCCTTCTCTGAACCTAAGTACGACTAACTCCAGTTCGATAGCCTAGCGGTTTCTGGAGTTAGCCAGCTACGGCTACTCCCTTTCATTCCTCCACTTAGGGTCGCAACTATCTTGATTAGTTTATAGTAAACTAGCTTTTACCCGCGGCTTCGCTCGCGTCACAAAAGGATAAAAAGTAGCCTATGTGACGTATACCAATACACACAGCGCAATACCACATTTTTCTGGGATAAAAAGTACCCTATTATTTAATCCAGACTTATAACTTTACGTCTGCAAAAATTCAAAGCAATCGGTTTAGTAGTTACGGCGTGAAAGCGGAACAAAAAAAACAAACAAACTCACTTTCTGATTTATTATATTAGTAAGGATTGATGTAACAGTGAAATAAATAATCCTACAAATGTTAAATTACTAATACATTATTATTATCAACCAACTAAACACGACTCGCATCTTATTTTATTTTTGGGTACTATTTATAGCTTTTCCTCTTTGGTTTCTTGAGATTTTAAGCAATAAAGCGTACTTATCAGAAAAATAGTTTTATTAGCATATTTAATATCAATAAGTATGTACAGTCAAAGGTCAATAGTCTACTGCCACCGTGAGTGATGTTCACACGGCAATGCGTAAGTAATTTCATATTAATGAGCATAAAAACGTGTGCGTACGTATAAACACACGCACGCGTACGCACACGGATACAAATATGCGTGTGTGTGTGTGTGTATAAGCGCTGCAGCGCAACTAGTAGCAGTCTTACGGTCGACTTTTGACCTTTGACCGTTCATACATTTATTAGTTTTTTCGAACATTTCTCAGTAGTAGCACAGAGTCTAGAATTTTGTCCGGTATATGGCAACAGGCTCTTATAACATGGGGCTTATAACATAAATGGTAAAAAGTGGACGTACATTGTACAGTGGTATTACATGCCGTAATGTACACCTCTGTTTATCCCTATGGGAGATAAAAAGCGTGACGATATTTATTTGTTATCACTACATAGTATAAAACTGAGTCGCTATCCGCCGTCTGTCTATCCCTATTAAAACTACCCAACGGATTTTGATGCGGTGTTTGTAATACATAGAGTGATTTTTAAGGAAGGTTTTTTGATATACAATACATGCATATTGCATCCGTGCGAAGCCGGGGCGGGTCGCTAGTTTTATTATATTATACTAGCGGACCCGACAGACGTTGTCCTGCATATTCACTTGAATGTGTAAAAAAAATTCATTCAAATTAGTTCAGCCGTTTAGGATAACTAACCTAGAAACCGACTGCAGCGCCATCTGCCGGGCTGATTTGTGAATCTAAACCATCCATGGCGCCACTCAAACGCGTACAGAAAATTAATTTAAATCGGTCAAGTCGTTTAGGAGGAGTTCAATGACATACACATGTACAGCAGAATTATATATATAAAGAAGATATAGAAGATATACGGTTGACACACATACCATTAATAAGATCCGGAGAATCGATGACTTTAAGACACTTGGCTAATATTGCCGTAACTAGCACAGCGTGGTGTAAGTCAGTCAGACCAGACTCCGCAGCGCCCTCTAGGAAGTTCTGACGGAACGTTCGGGATAAATGCGACGCTATTGTTGGATGACATTCCTGTGGGAATATAGACTTTGTTATAATGGTTTAAAGTTGAAATTTGATTAGAGCTAAAGATTTTATGTTATATTTGTGTAAGCTTTGTGTTTTGTTTTTGTTAATATGTAATATGTTTCTTTATTTTTTTTAATTACTGTCTTATTATTGTATTGTCACTGTGGTGTTATACTCTGTCGTTTCTTTGTTTTTTTTTCTATATCTATATGTTTGAATATCAAGCTCCAGGTGTGTTGCTGGTGGTCTTGAATAATAAAAGACTTCGGTATGAAGAGAAGACTGTATTTAAATAGGTACTGATTTTAAGGGTCAACCGATATGTGCGCACGGCGTCGTGTCGGGCGAGCGAGTGAGTGAATGACCGTCGATCGCAGCGGTCGCGGGCCACGTATGGTGGTGAGCCCGATGTGACGTCAGGAACACTATATAAATATGTGTATTTATTTGTTCTTTTCTTTTTGTATCTGTGTGCATGCCTACTGTCAAATTAATGTTTTTTCTTTCTTCTTTCTTTCTTTCTTAAATTATTTTATTTTAATTACCAACAACTATTGTGGGTTATCTTAATAGAGGAAAGCTCTATTAATTAGCGCCTAACACTAACCTTCATCAGAGTATCGCAGTAGTCTAACCATGAGAAGAAGCTCGTCAGTTCTCTATACCCGTGGAATTTGCTGTATGATTTATCACCAAAGTCTTGCGCTACATATCTGAAATATAAATGATTTTTATGGAAAAAATACTAATAACATTAAATAAGCATTATTTAGAAAAAAATACTATTTTTAATTTAAGCCTTTGACTGTCACCAGTGACCTACGCGGCGGTTAACGTGTTAATTATTATGTTTTCGGCTTACTCAGGTCCTCGACTAGTTTCAAGCCATGCTAGAGGCTCATAATATTCATGAGCAGCATTCCAACGACTAGTCGTCGGCCTATTCGTGAAACTAGTCGATTACCTCGTCAAACAGTTACGTGGGTAAACCGAAAACATTTATTTTTAATTAGTATTAAAAATGTTTGAACGTAAAAAAACGCAAATGTAGAAATTTAATGTCTTAAAATTATAGAACTATTCAGAAATCGGTACTATAGCAGGTTTGTACTATTTGTTTTAGATAGTCCACCTGTGTTTTCGCATACATTTGTGCACAATAAAATCTTTTGGGAACCTATGCCGCTTGGGAACAAAATAGAACCTTATTTATTATTATTTATTTATCATTTCATGTACCTACACCACACAGGCAATATTACAAAGGACAACACATTATAGTAGCTGTAATATTTATGGGTAGCCATTTGTACTCACGCCCAAGTGATATTGAGATGGTCTACATCGCTGGGGTCAACATTGGCTGGTATGGCTCTGTACTTGGCCGCCAGCTTGTGTACGATGGTCTCGCAGGCAGGACTGCAACTTGTCACCAAGTTGGCGATGTCGTCCTCAGGCAGCGACGATACTATCATTATACCTTCACACGCACGGAGGACTACTTGGTTGTCCTGGGAACATTTTAAACTATATTTAATACTTTTTTTAAGGGGGTAAAATCATCGAATGACTGCTCCCGCTTGGGTGAGGCGGGAGGGAGTGTCAGACTCTTACTGACTAAAAACCAGCCCGTTCCTTCTCCTGCACGTCGAGCCGGTTACCCGTTAGGTTCTCCGCGACAACTATATTTAATACTAGCTCACTGCGACTTCGTCCGCGTAGAATATGATTTCTGTTTTATCCTATGGAAACATTTAATCGGGATAAAAATATCCTATCACCTAAGTTGAATACCAAATTTCATCAAAATCCGTTCAGTAGTTCAGTGTAATTTTTATTTTTTATGGCATAAGCCGGTAAACGAGCAGACGGATCACCTGATGGTAAGTAATCGGCGTCGCCCATGGACACCTAGAATATCAGAGGCGTTACAAGTGCGTTACCGGCCTTTTGGGGATTAGGAGTTTGAGGATCGTTGGGGATTCAGGAATTGGGGAGATTGGGCCTCCGGTAACCTCACTAACACGATGAAACACAAAGCAAGCGTTGTTTCACGTCGGTTTTCTGTGAGGCCGTGGTATCACTCCGGTCGAGCCGGCCCATTCGTGCCGAAGCATGGCTCTCCCACACTTAAATGATGATGTGATGATGTTTATCCATACAAAGGAATGTTTTCACTTATAATATTAGTGTGATCTATTCTGAGATAATAAACTGGACGGTTTTATTAAGACATGGCTAAATCTCTAGTTACATATAGATGAATTTTGTACAACAGGCGAACGTGTTGCCGTACCAAGCTGCAGGCATAATCTCAGACTCAGTTTCATTTTTGAGTCCTTCAAAAGGAACGAAACTCATTAATTTGTGGAATCTAGGAAATCAACCAAAAACTTCTTATTTGATCGTTAAAAAAATCCCTTATTCATTCCAACATGTGTTTGTTTTATTTTTTATTTTTTCAACCTTTTTTTCCTTTTAGCTAGCGGGTGACACCGTGGTACAGTTAGTACACAGACACAGATAATTTTCTACACATAATTATAACATCATAATCGGCATCATCACGCCTTTTATCCCCGGAGGGTTAGGCTTCCCGACTCGGGAATCGAACCCGAGACCCCTTGCCGACGCCATAGAAATTCTTTCCAAAATGACAGAGATGGCACGATATTTAAATAAAACTTAAAGAATAGCCTTTCGATATTCGAGCGTCAATAACATTATACTCACGGCACTATTCAAATAAGATAACAGCAGATCAATAAGTAAGAATTTATCATTGTCATCGTATACTGTTTTCTGGCTCTTGCACGAAGCATTGTCATCAGCTGAGCTGCTAGAGGTGGCGTTACAATCGTCCTTGCCTGTTCGAATTATCGATACATTTCGTAGTGGATTCGGGGGCAACTCTACTTCGAATAAAGGGTTCTTCTTTGGTGTTTGTATCTGTAATAGATAAGATATTTTAAATATAAGGCATTGTGTAACAATTCATGATATTTTGTCCAATCGACATGTTGAATCGACATTGAGACGTCGCATTGAATTTCATTAATTTTTTTTATAGCATAAGCCGGTAATCGAGCGGATGGATCACTTGATGGTAAGCAATCGGCGTCGCCCATGGACACCCGAAACACCATGGCGTTACAAGTGCGTTACCGGCCTTTTGAGAATTGAGGATTGTGGAGGATTCGGGAGACTAGGGAAGGGTTTTTTTTTAAGGGGGGAAAATCATCGAATGACTGCTCCCGCCTGGGTGGGGCGGAAGGGAGTGTCAGACTCTTACTGACTAAAAACCACCCCGTTCCTTCTCCTGCACGTCGAGTCGGAGCCCCGGTTACCCGTTAGGTTCTCCGCGACAGGGAAGGGGGTAATTGGGCCTCGGGTAACCTCACTCACAAAACGAAACACAACGCAAGCGTTGCTTCACGTCAGTTTTCTGAGGAGCATTTCGTGCCGAAGCATGGTTTTCCCACACTTTGTATACCATACTATAAAATACTACAAGTTTCATTATTTTGGTCGTCTGTAACACATAAACTCAAAAACAGCTAAGCCAAATTCGATAAAGCACACAAATACCAACCTTACTCCTAATAGGTATTAATTTCTGTATATCTTCAGGTATACTGAGTAACGTGGATTTATCTTCAACGAAGGGTGTCGTGAAGATATTGGCTAGACCTGGCTCTTTGCGCACTAACCCACAAAGGGTCAACAGTAGTTCTACTTCTTCCTTCTCTGTCGGTGACGCTGGATTCTCATTGCATTGTATTAACATTCTCTGTGAAATAGAGTTCAATTTAGCTTGGCAGTTTATGAAAGTAAAGATAATTTAGAAATTAGAACTACATATTTTGAGGGTGGATATCATTTGAAAACTTAAGTAAAAATCGCGGGTTACTTCACTAGTTACTTACTCAAAAGCTCAACTAGTTTCGAACCACAGAGGGGTTTCTCCTCGTAGTACAGTTTTTGTCAGTATTTTCACGCGAGTAACCCGCGATTTTTAGTTAATTAAGTATGTCTCACGATAGTTATAATAAATATTTGGAAACTTCTTGATCTATAAGTCAAAATTTATAACCAACCTCAATTTAAATTGGGTCTTGGGTTAAGAATTTTCTGTATTATTGATAACTTCTGTTAAAAACCTAGATCGATACGGAGAGAGCACGTACAGTCTGAATTCTGCAATCCAGATACGAATCTGAAATAGGCACCGAACCTATTGTTGACCGGATTGTAAAAATGCATTTGTTACAAAGCGTTTGCTCTTCATAATGCAAAAGCCAAAAACTATTTAAATTGATCTTTTCAAACCCACGAAGCTAATATATAACATAACATCACGCCTTTTATCTTCGAAAGGATGGATATGGATAGAGATGCACATTACGAAACGTAATGTCACTGTACTTACAATCTAACACCTACTTTTCACTACTTTATATGTTACGAGTCTCATGTAAATTCCAGACTCCGTGCTACTACTGCCGTTTTTTTTAAAAAAAACCTGGTAATACTTTGCCCGACCCGAGAATCGAACCCGAGACCCCTTGCCCTACAGGCGCACTTGCAACCATTCGGTCAACGAGGTAGTCATAAGCTAATACAGTAACAAATAAAACATATAATTACCTGTAGAGGCCTATAAACATGCGCACTATTAACACAGGGCTGCCTGGTCCTGCGCAGCAGCGCGGTGCCGGTGGTGAGCGCGAGCGCGCGCGCGCCGGGGGGCCGCTCGGCCGCCGCCAGCGCGCACAGCGCGTCCAGCAGGCACACGGACCGCTGCACTATAGCCTCCATGCACGGCCCTACTGTGCCACCTTGCTGTTCTTTCTCTTCGTCCACTATCAACTGTGGAATAAAGAAAATTATGTTTTACAGTTGTGTTAAAAGTATAACATCACGCCTTTTATCCTCGAAGGGGTAGGCAAAGGTGCACATTATGCCACTGTACAATGTAACACCCACTTTTCACTCTTTATGTTATGAGTCCCATCACCCATGTAATAGGGGGTGAGCCTATTGCCATATACCGGGCACAATTCCAGACTCCGTGCTATTACTGAAAATTTTTTTAAAACCCAGTAATACTTTGCCCGACCCGGGAATCGAACCCGAGACCCCTTGCCCGGCAGTCGCACTTGCGACCAATCGGCCAATGTTATGTTATGCTCAAAAGTATACTTTGACATGTGTAGATAGAGTTTTTAGATACCAGTAGTTGACATTCAGGATATATACCCATTGTTTAAATATAGGATTCATAGTAAAACAGCGAGAGATATTTTTTATTTTATTTTTCCTTAACGAAACCTTCATCGTGATTCAACGACTTTTTTAGCAAAAAATAATCTGTTGTCGTCGTTATTGAGTTTTAATGCTAAGCTCAGAGATACCATAATAATATAGCTTTATTATATTTTATCCATTATTATACAACTGATGTGGGGTTTATAGAGTTCTAACTTTATATTATACCCATAGATCCCCAAGCGGTCACCGGTGACCGCTCTCCACTACCTACATTATAGACCTTACTTCCAATGCTTAGAGACTACTTTTGTATGAACAAATTTAAGGGATGAATTTCAACGGGTTAAACAATTTACATGTAGGAATCGTAGCAATTGGCGTTCCAGTCTCTGCCTACCGTCATGGGAGATAGGCGTGAAGTTATGTATGTACTTATAGAAGTCTGGTCAATGATACTGACTAGCAGGTGACGACTGGGCCATGAAATTATAACAATACCAAGTCGCAGTATTGTCTGTTTGTTTGTAAACAATTAATTGACAGTAGAAAAGTATTGATTTTTAATCATGAATACTAATCAACAATAGAATTAGAAATATTTCATAGGTAATTTTTGAAAAACGAGTGAGAGAACCCATTGAGCAAGCGTGGCGATTATGCTCAAAACTTCTCCGTGTGAGAAGAGGCTTTGCTCAGCAGTGGGCATTATTTATAGCCTGTTGATGATACTAGTTACTTCCGCGCAGTTCTACCCGCTGCTCGTCTCCTATTCGTCATAGCGTGATGTTTTATAACCTTCAACGATAAATGCAGTATCCAACACATTATTATAAGTAGTAACAAAAAATAATTATTCAAATCGGAATAATTATTTTTGTGTTACTACTACTGCTGACAAAGTAAGTATTTTTGATACACACACAAAATTTCATTCCTTTTTTATACAATGGGGATGATGACAGGGTATGAAAATTAAAAATATAATTAGTCCGTAAGTTAGGTAATGAAAAAATATTAGACACGTATTTTTTTATTTTGTCGTATAATAAAACAATACTTCGATAAAACGAATCAAAGTTTAGGAGTGGGGGCTAAAACGTCATTCCTTAGTATAAAATGTACTGAGAAGTGACGTCACGCGACATTTCAAATCAATATTTCTTCGAAACTATTCGTTTCTGTGAGAAAATAAAAAATACGTGGCTAATGTTTTTAAATAATCTATCAGACGGACATTAAAATAAAAATTAGTCGTCTACCCCATTCAGGGAAAAGTTCTGCCCAGTCTAAAAATAACAATAAAAGTCACACAGGAACCTACTTTGGAACCGCCTATGCAATTAAATTAAACGACAATAAAATTCATACTTTAAAAATAAAACCGCTATAAAAAGACATCCTCAATAAAAACGCTCCATAAAACAATGCACTATGATTAACAAAACAACAATAAAGAGCGATTAATTTTAAATTCTAATCGCTTGCACTTGAAAATACGGAAAGCGGGCCATGATAATAGAAACACAAGCGATCAAGGTCATATCCAAGAGTTAGTCGGCTAAAAACTCGCTATACCGTGAAATCCTAACATTATTGCATCCGTTTTTTGATATAGGAGAAAGTTATATTTCACAAACTGTTTTAAAATGAAAGTCTGTGTGTGAGTTGCATTCACATAAATGTCTACGTTTTTATGGTTGGTAATAAATACTGAAAATTATAAGATTGTGTCGTTGTTTGAATTGAATGGTTAACTATGCAGGTTTTGAGTGTGAGTTGTCAAGTTTTCTGCGTCGGTAAAATCATTATTAGGCTTGTTATTGTTATTAGAATATGTAAATATCTGTACAGTGTAGTGAACTGTACACTACTTTTTATAGTTAATTGTTATGGAGTGAAGTACTCATAGATAGATGAGTTTGGAGTTGTGAGTTGAAACACTTCTAGAAGTCCCGAAAAGTTTATTTTTAAAAGTTACAAGTAAGATTGTTAGATTGTTTATCATAATAAAACAAGTTTAATTAAGATTATTAGTGTACGTAAACCGTACATATCTATGTACCTACTGGCAAGGCCGCCTTAGACTTCGCTTACAAGGCTTAACATACAAGTTCCTATACACATGACACCCAGACCCGACACAACAATTTGTGTAGTAGACAAATATTTGCTTCGTGTGGGAATCGAACCCGCAAATTTCGTGGCAGCCACGTGTAGCAATTGTGTCCGTCGTCGTAGAAATTGTCGGTCGTTCGGGGTACCCTGAGGATGGGGGAGGTACGGGCCCCGAGTAGGGCATGTAAAACCGGTTTTCCGGTTTTGCGCAAAACCGGAAATCGGCCAAAATTTTACGATTATTGAAAACCGGTTTTGAGAGCCAAAACCGGAGCTCAGCTCCGGTTTTCCCATTATTAAGTAACAATTAACATTTTGTTTTAATCAAATTTTTTTCAAACACTTACAAAAATAATTAATATTGAGGCATTAAATGTATCCGAACCGAACACAGCCTGCATCCACCCATTTTCACGCCTCCCTCCACTACCCCCGCCTGATGCTTAACTAAATGAAGTGCATTTTCGTAGTCGATAAAACATATTATCAGCACGTCCGTTTGCATTTCTCTGCATTTTTGAAGAGATGGAGATTCTGAGATCGTTGAGGGCGAATAAAGCTTCACGGGTGCCTACACCAGAATGAAATGCGAATTGGCTGTCTCCCAGTTGTTCGTCACAATTTACTCTTATTCTGTTCTGTATGATGTTTAAGAACACTTTTAGGACATCTCTCATTAGACTCATCATCTGGTACTCTCCATATTTTGTTGCATTTTGTTTTTTGAGTATTGTAATGAACGTAGACTAGCCAGTCATGTGGAAGAATGCCAGTTTCGTAAATGTTGTTGAAGAATTGGTCAAGTACTTCCTCCAATAGCTTGAGAATCTCGATGGGTAATATGGGAATGTTATCTGGTCACGTAATATCTCCGATTTTAAAATAGTTGGACCCGTGTCATCAGTAATTATTTGGATATTTCTTGATGGGTCTGCGAACATCTCCGAGCCTGCACCCCGCATTTGATTATTGATCTCTTTTTTAGTGCAATATGAATCATATTATAATAATATTATTTTGTAGTTTGTCTTTAAAGTTACAAAAATAATGTTTTTTTTTTTTGGTAATTGTGGCTGGCTGTATTTAATATTTAAAGATACTACTTGTGTTTTCTATGTTTAAAATATATTATTTTTGATAGCAGACTTAATAGGTTCCAAAGATACCAAAAACTTATTTGTTGTTGATTTGATCTCAGTTAAATAATTTTTATACTATTATAAGTTCATTGTTATCTGTACAATTATTATGGTTTGGATGTAAAAGAAGTGAATCACACAATTTGTTTTATTTGTAGACTCAGTGGGTATTTAAAAAAACGGTTTTCTTTTTTAAATTAACTACATTGGATTTTTTTGATAAAACCGGACCTAGCTCCGGTTTTCGGTTTTGGCACCAAAAAAACGATGTTCAAAACCGGTTTTGATGACTTTCCGGTTTTACATGCCCTAGCCCCGAGTGCCCTTATAGTCTGCGTATTGGACATATTTATCCGCAACCTCGTCAGTGTGGTCAGAGGAAAAAACTTTATCACTCTATCGGTCTCCAACTTCATAACTATCATATACCAGACACAATAATTGAATCATAAAGTCGCTCAGTTGAGACATGAAAAGAAGATAATAAAACACATTTTCGCATTAAGTAAGCATAAGTCATTAACAGACTAATGCCGGACTACTGAAACGTTACTCAATTTTAAGTCGTGCTTAAATATCGTGCCATCTCTGTCATTTTACAAAGAATTTGTGGAGACAGAACTATACTTAATCACGACTTAAAATTGAGTAGCGTTTGAGTATTCTGATATAATCATCTATGCTTCTATCTAAGATCTATCTTCATACATTATTTTCCTAGATATCAATATAAATGTATGCAAAAGTATGCATATAAATATTATTATAGATAGTATATATTTACATCAGTATATTTCAACAGGTACCTATTATCATAGAAAACAGTACCAAGTTCAAACAAGATAATAATGATAATTATAAGCTTGTTAATTAACTCCTATGATTAATCTGTTACGTATCTATAGAGACATGGGAGTTATATATGTATATTGGGTAGGCAGAGGTGCACATTACGGCACTTAATGCCACTGTATCATGTATCACCCACTTTTCACTATTTTCTGTTATGAATCCCATGTAATAGGGGGTGAACCTATTACCATATACCGGGTACAATTCCAGACTCCGTGCTATCACTGAGATTTTTTTTAAAACCCAATATTACTATGTCCGACCCGGAAATCGAACCCGAGACCCCTTGCTGCAGTCGCACTTGCGACCACTCTGCCAAAGAGGCATATTGTTAACAATTTGTGAGTATTGTATGTTTAACTGTTTTACGAAAAAAATCACATCGTTATCAATAGCCTATGAGCGAAAAAAATACTGAATGGAATTGGATAACATTTGGTATTGAAATAGATAGATTGGAATCTGGAATAACATTACATATAGGCTTATTTTATACCAGCAATGCGGGCGAAACGGCAATAGCTAGAGACCAATTAAACCAGTGACTCCTCTGGTGTTGCGGGTGTGCATGGGCGGCGCTGATTGCTTACAATCAGATGATCCGTCTGCTCGTTTACCTAATATTCCATAAAAAAAAACTTATGTAACTAATTTAAATTATACTTTTATCACACAGTTCCGCAACAACTAATTTAATCAGTCAGAATGTCCTGTAGCTAATCAATATGTACATAAATACAATACATACACTACATACAATTACATACAGACATGTTAAGGACATGGATACATTTATAGAGCAAATTAATATTCTATAAACAACTTCTGAGTTGTAGCAAATTGTGTACAAGGCCTTATAAGCCATATCTGACTAGTTAGCTTCTGCCAGCGTCTCCGCCAGCGTTTCCGGAGAGAGATAACAGTAGCCTGTGTGTTATTTCAGACTATAATGTACCCCTTTTTTAAGGGGGGAAAATCATTGAATGACTTCTCCCGCCTTAGGTGAGGCGGGAGGGAGAGTCAGACTCTTACTGACTAAAAACCAACTCGTTCCTCCTCCTGCACTTCGAGTGCACCAATGTGACTTTCTCCGAGTTATATGCACTTCCTAAGATTATTTAGATACCACTGACAAAGGGTGAATTAAAATATGGTGACGAAACATGGACTTATAATTTCTATTAATAAGTTTGTAATCACCAACCCGCATTGAGCAAGTGTAGTGATTAATGCTCAAACCTTCTCCGTGGGAGAAGGGGCTTAGCTCAGCAGTGGGCAGTTATAGGCTGTCGAAATTTCATCCCGATCCCTTCAGCCATTTTAGATGTGAAGGAGTAACAATAACAAACAACTAAACATACAAACAAACTTTCGCATTTATAATATTAGTAGAATAATAGGATTTTTTAATATACTTGATAGGATGCCGTTTGGCCACCATCTCGCCTAGTAGTAAGTAGTGATGTGGCCGGAGATGGTGCACACCTACCTATAAGCAACCTGTTCACTCAAGCCTTGAAGACACCCCAGTTGAATTTTTAAATGGCATAAGCCGGTAAATGAGCAGACGGATCACCTGATGGTAAGCAATCGGCGTCGCCCATGGACACCTGGAGCACCAGAGGCGTTACAAGTGCGTTACCGGCCTTTTGGGCAACACAGATTCTGGCAAGGAATTCCATTCCTTAGCGGTTCGCACAATGATTGTTTATCTGTACAGTGTATAACCCCATTTATTTGTACCTTTACTAAAAGAAATTGTGGTGTGGCAATATTTAGACAGTGGGATCAATATATTTGGTCCACTTAGTGTTGGGTTTAAAGTACTCTTTAACTGACAAATTGATTTTCACTGTAACAACCTTATTATCTGTTATCAGTAGATAAGTAATTAAAAGTTACATTACATAGGAAGTAGATCCTTATAACTTTTATCAGTTTTAAATCTAAGAATGATACAAGAATAGGTCGACTAAACATGATAAGAACCCAAAGTGTGGAACAGTCATGCTTCGGCACAAATGGGCCGGCTCAACCGGAGTGATACCACGGCCTCACATAAAACCGACGTGAAACAACGCTTGCGTTGTGTTTCGTCGTGTGAGTGAGGTTACCAGAGGCACAATTACTTCCCTCCCTAGTCTCCCGAATCCTCGAATCCTCCACAATCCTCAAATTTCCCAATTCCCAAAAGGCCGGTAACACACTTGTTACGCCTTGGTGTTACGGGTCTCCATGGGCGGCGCCTATTGCTTACCATCAGGTGATCGGTCTGATTGATTACCGGCTTATGCAATAAAAAAAATACATTACATAATTATAATAAAATAAAATCGTAAGAATTTCGAAACTGTCCATTGAATATTTTTTTAAAAGAATACTTGAGGCGTGATCTGCAGCCGATATCTATATGTGAATAAATAAATTTTGAATTTTATCTAAAGTCACTATTCTATGTGGACGAAGTTGTGTAAATATACCAGTTGAATATAGAAATAGCTAAGAAAACAAAAATTGCATTTTGATGTAATAATACATCCTAAATAATAAACTGCTGCTTACATACCACTGTTTATTATTTCGCAGTATTGTATGTGATTGTATGTGTGAGTTCATAAATAAATATACAATATGTTAAACACTTTGACTTTCATTTCATCCATTTAAACAATTTATTTTTAGAATGAATGCACTCAATCCGTGGCTTAAAATTAAATAACAAAGATATCAGATTCTTATCAAAGTAAGCAAACATGTAATTGATTATGTAAGGGAATTACTAATTTAAAGTTACAAGACACAAAGTTGAGTTTAAATTATCAATTCACAGATAAAAATTATATTTTTTTTTGTTTATATAGTAATAAATTACGATAGTAAACCAAATGTGACATGGCAATCGCGTGATGTTTATTTTTTTAATTTGTTTCAATTGTCAAATCATAAGTAAAATTTACAAAAAAATTGACCAAATGTATATTTGTTGGACATGTAACAGATATATTTTATCTTATTGGAAAATGGAATTATAATAATCGCATGCACAGCAAACATATTTCACACAATATCATAAATTCAATAAGATCTGTGTATGTAAGAATGTAGATTTTTATAATTTAATTAATTAGTCATATTTAAAGACATACCTGTAACATTTGATGCAGGTGATGCGGTATCCTGGTCTCCTCAACATGCAGTTTGTTGTTCTCGTCATAATTCTGGTAAAAATTCAGTATCATCTTCCAATGGTACTCGAAATCCTCCAACCGTGTAGCCGGAGGTGCCAGCTGAAACAATGAAACCTCATTAATTTGTTCACTACACGCACATTCACCGATAATATTAATTGTTTTGCACTCACAACGTCCGCCGCAGTTTGCAGCACGTCCGAAAAACGGCTCAACATTTTTACGTGTTTAATTCTTCATTTATACACACATAACAAAAGCCTTAAATAAAACTCAAAGCAGAGATTCTAAATTGTAAATTAAGCATCAAATCATTATAGCTGGCTCTATAAAATTCATTAAAAATCACAACACAGTAACCCGATAAATACAGATGAGAACTATGTTACCCGTCAATGTCAAATCGAAAGCGTTTGACGTTAAGAGCATGTGACGTAAATAGAGGAGCACGGTTTTTAATCGATTTAGTATTGATTACAAAGTATATTTCATCAGCAGCGCAAAATTAGTAATTAAATTATTAAAAGTACAAAATTGTGACAGACAAAATGCAATCTCACCAAGAAATTATGTTATCCTAACCATAATAAATAACATATTAGGAATTTTCCTACGATTTCGAACGTATCTTTTCTAATGTCAGAATTATGTCAACGAAATGTCATTGTCATGTCATCCATTCATAATTTCATCATTTCGTGATTGGTGAAGCAAATCGCGATTTTCCACACACACCGTAGTAAACGCGAAATGCGTAAAGAAATTTAATTAAAAATAAAATACACTGATTAACGACTGAACCGTCAGTGTTAGTGATTGCGTGCGTTATATACAAAATGTCTTCATTTGTGAATCACCGAGAGGATAGCACGGTGACCGTGGAAGAAACTTCAACAAAAGACAATGTTACATATTACAAAATAACAGTTAAAGTGGGTTCAGTGCGTTGGACCGTGTTGCATCGGTATAATGACTTTGTAGAGCTGCATGAGAAGTTAGTCTCGGACCATGGGGTCGCTAAAGAGTTGCTCCCGCCGAAGAAAGTTATTCGTAACAAAACACCAAAATTTGTGGAGCAAAGACGCGAAGCTCTAAGCGAATACTTGAAGAATGTATTTAATTATTTAAAACTGACGATGCCGTCCGAGTTCGCTCACTTCCTAGACTTCCATTTGTATGATATATTCTTTTTGCTACAAGATTTAGCAAAGACATTGTTTTTAGAAGGTGATAAAATGTTGGAGTATGAGAAATCACATAATTTTACTCCTTTAGAGGTATGCTGCATATTAATTATTACATAATTACAATGTTTATAGACATAATTATCAGCCTTGACCTTTTTTATAATTTTTTTTTTTGTATAAAAAATATTAAATTATCAAACTAATTAATTACAAAATAAATTCAGAACACTATGACTAATTCCAAATTCAAAACAATTCTAATTCTACATAATCTTTGACACACTTTCAATACTCTATGGCTTCTATAATCCGCACTCTTTTTTCAGTTGCATGCTATAAGTGAGCGGTTAAAAATAGCCTGTCCTATGACTGAGAAACAAGATCAAATGTATGATTTCAGTCACATTTTGGATTTCTGCTCACAACTAAGGTCTTTAAATATAGAGGGCAGTTATGAGAAATTGGGTACAAGCAATATTGTACCAAATGACCTACATTTTGACTTAATTCCATTCAAGTCTTTGTTGGATTTGAAGATTCTGGGAGTGCCTATGGCTTGTATACAGAGTGTTGGTAAGTATTATCTTAAGTTTTTGTTAAAAATTGTATGTTTTTTTTTGCTGTATAATCCACTTCTTCTTAAGAGTCAGGCGTAAAATTTATTTGGCTATTCATTAAAATAAAATAATAATAAAAGGGTTTTTAAAATGAAAATACTGAATCCAAAAAATATAGGTAGAACATGTTTTTTTCATCATACATTCATAACTTCATGCCTGTCTCGGCTGTCTCCCATGGGGGTAGGCAGAGAATATGGAACGCCAATTGCTACAATTTCTATGTAGAAATTGTAGCAAAGAGGTATGTACCTCTTTCGCTTCATCAACAGTAAGTTATCAATCTTTTTATGCAGGTTCATTGGTTAAGGGTACTTTTAATTTGGCCCTTCTTTAATACATTGTCAATCTGGTCAGCTTGTTTATGTGTAAATTTTTTCTAATGAGTATGGTACTATTACAATACTGCTTATTGTAAACTAATTATTAAAAGTATTAAATACAATCAGAATAATTATTAATAATAAAAAAAATGTTGTTGTGGCCTGGAGGTTTAAGTCTTCTCATGCATGAGGATGCGGGTTTGAAACCTACCAATGGCAAGTACCAATGTGACTTTTTCCGAGTTATATGTACTTTCTTCTAATATCTAGACACCACTGACAAACGGTGAAGGAAAACATCATGAGGAAACCTGGGCTTAAAATTTCCAATTATAAGTTTGTAATCGCCAACCCGCATTGAGCAAGCGTGGTGATTAATGCTCAAACCTTCTCCGTGTGAGAAGAGGCTTTGCTCAGCAGTGGGCACTTAAAGGCTGTTGATGATGATAAAAAACTATTACTACAGCACTTGAATACTATGTAACAATCAGTGACCTATTAAGTTGTTATCATTGAACAAAGTCTGTCTATTGCATTACCTCATTGTTGCATTATCTATCTAATTCTAGACACTAGAAAACCAGTTTGAGATACATATTCATAAAAGATAAGTCCTTGGCTAGACCTATTATGTTGAAAAAGAGACGAACATAATGTCCCTTAGAAATGATTGAAGCACCAAAATGTCAGTGGTGTATTTATGTGCGCATGTACTTGCAACACCATATTGTATAAATTGTAATAACAAGCCTTATCACGCGACAGATGTCCTTTGTGTCAATGTGTGTGTATTCTATGTGTAAGTCTTTAGTAGCCAGGTTTCACAGTCGTTGTTTCGAAAGACTATGTATGCCTTTTTTTAACGGCCTTGGTCTAAATTAGATGGTAAAATTTATATTTTTGAAATAAATTCTAAGTACCTATTAATATTATATTATCATTAAGCTTTATTCCTCTCTAGCAAATTATAATATTTGGTGTAGTCAAAGCAGCACAGATATAACAATTTTCCCCCAAAACTTAAGCCAAGGATACACTGGGGGCCAAATAAATGTCCCACGACATGTATCGGCGACAAGTCGAGCGATGTCGCTTGACGTATACGGTCACAACGCGCAACTTATGCCCACAGCGACGTTGATGTTGACCAAAGTACGGCAACGTCGCGCTACTTCACCCGACGTCGCGTCGTCGCTGGCGACACGTGTCGCAGGACTTTGTCCCTTAGTATATTCTTGGCTTTAAGCGTTATTCAATTATAACAGCACACTAGGTGGACTTAATTCAATTCCTTCTTCTACAATTGAGTAGTTTCCAGGGTATCCAAATTAAAAATCTAATTAGTCCGTCAGTTAGATAATGAAAAATATTAGAAACGTGTTTTTTTATTTTCTTGTATTAGGTAAGTTTCAATACTTAGATAAAATGGCGCTCAGTTTAATAGTGGGTCGCTACGTCATAACGTGCTACAAAATGTGGCACGCTGTGACGTCACACGATATTTCAAATTAATATATGTCTCTTCGAAAGTATTTAATTTTGTGAGAAAAGAAAAAATACGTGTCCAAAGTTTTAAATTAATGTACTAGACGGACATTAAAATAACATTTAGGAAACTACCCTATTACTAATTGTCAATTTTCTAAAATTAAATAATGCTGCAACACTTCCTTATCCAGGAAATGAACTCCAAAACCCCATACCAATATCAGAGAGCTGTTAAAATAATCATACTTCCTTGATTGATTTTAAAACATTAGGTATTTCCAATTATATGTTTTAGTAATAATAAATATATGCAAGATGACGCACAGAATATGCGCGCTATGACGTCAGATTGTAATATCATACAAAATTCGTAGACAATGATTGTTCTTGATTATTGACCTTTTGAAAATGTATTAAAATTTATTTCTGAGAATTAACATCACATGCCAAGTTTAATTTGCATGTCGCGGAGAACCTACCGGGTAACCGGGGCTCCGGCTCGACGTGCAGGAGAAGGAACGGGGTGGTTTTTAGTCAGTATGAGTCTGACACTCCCATCCCGCCTCACCCAGGCGGGAGAAGTATTCGATGATTTTCCCCTCTTAAAAAAAAGTTTAATTTGCATACATAGGACGATCTATAATTGTGTGAGCTTTAACTTATCTTAAACTCCAAAGAATATGTGGTAACATGGTAGGTATTGCAGTTTTTTTTTTCGAAATAAATACCTATTGACACTTAGCCCGACGCGGGAATCGAACCCGAGAACCTTTTGCTCAGTAATCACTTTGCGTTCACTTATTTTCTAAATGACTGCCTTATTAACCGAGTGGTCGCAAGTGCGAACGCCGGGCAAGGGGTCTCGGGTTCGATTCCCGGATGGGGCAAAATATTACTGAATTTTAAAAAAATCACAGTATTAGCACGGAGTCTGGAAATGTGCCCGGTATATGGCAATAGGTTCACCACCTACTACATAGGACTCGTAATATTAATAGTGAAAATTGGTTGTTACATTGAAATATATATATAATTATTTTTCTTTCCAGGTGGCCTCCGAGACACTCTAGTTAGTTTGTCAGTGTCAACAGCCAGTGTCGTCTCCCTAAACGAGTTCCTGCTCGTTGATATCCTCCATAAAGACCCCTCCAGCATAGCGGACACTGTTGTAAGTAAATCTTATTTCTATTCGTGTAGAGTCTATTTTCGATTGTAGGCTAAATTATAAATTTGATCTCCATTTGAAGGTCGATGTTATCAGCATATTGGTATCGTTAGGTCGATGTTATGCTTTATTAGGTTCTGTAGTAAAAATCGCTTTTAATTTGCATTCGAACCGTTTTTCCTTGTGAACCGAAGATACCTCTTCGGTGTTGCTTTGCTTGCTTTACCAAGCATTTTATCGATTACCTACTAGCTTCTGCCCCGCCACTTCGTACGAGCAACCCTGTTTTCTTCCATTCCCGTCCTATTTCTAATTCCCGTTTCTATTATAAGAACCTTCTCCTGACAATAACAAACACAACAAAAAAAAAAATGTTTTAATTAGATTTCCTGTCTCAGGTCTACTGGAAGAAATTCCAACAGGAATAAGTAGCACCTTTGTACTCTTATTTTACATATGTTTTATCCTCTGTGCTGTCTGTGTGTACATAAATTATTAAATAAATAAATAAAAATCCGCTTAATCGATCTAGTCGTTCTCAAGTTGTGACGGGACAACCGGGGTTTAATTTTTATATATGTATAGTATATAGATGTAGCGAGTGGCTTATTGACATCTTGATGAGAATCGGTTTGTCCTTTTTTCTTTGAAAATTATAATAGTTTGGACTATGACGAATGTTTACGACGCGACGCGACGATTAGATTAGATTCGAACAACCTTGTCCTTTCAATGTCATTTGATAATAATAATAATTGCTAACCAGTAGTTTGAATTTGCATGGCGCAGCAAAAATCGTAATCTGACTTCATTGTTACCTCAGACATACTTGCACCCTTTATGTATCTACTAGCTACTTCTGCGCGATGTCACACGCTCTGCTCAGCTCCTATTGGTCGTGCCGTGATGTTTTATTGCCACCCTCGATAAATGCGCTATCCAACACAAAAAGAATTATTGAAATCAGACTTGTAGTTACGGAGATAAGCGCGTTCAAACAAAAAAACAAATTTTTTTTATGGCATAAGCCGGTAAACGATCAGACGGATCACCTGATGGTAAGCAATCGGCGTCGCTCATGGACACCTGGAACACCAGAGGCGTTACAAGTGCGTTACCGGCCTTTTGGGGAATTAGGAGTTTTAGGATCGTTGGGGATTCGAGAATTGGGGAGATTGGGGAAGGGGAGGGTAATTAGGCCTCCGGTAACCTCACTTACACGACGAAACACAATGCAAGCGTTACTTCACGTCGGTTTTCTGCTTTCGCTTTGTATAATAGTATAAGATAAGATAATAGATGAAGCACAAATCAATTGATTTGTGCTTTATTTCTCATATTAGTAACGATTTCATATTTTAAAGCTGGGGTCTTAAGTTTAGGTAACGTGATTTAGATAGGTCATAAGCCAGACAACTTTGGAAACCAAAGCATTATGATACTCTCAAGTTGGGTTGCCAACCGTACTCCAAAAAAGAGTATTGTCCTCTATATTATGTAGGCGTACTCTATAATCTATAACACTAATAGAGTCCGCTAAAATTCTCTTTTATATACAATGATTCAAATACCCATGATCGGAATAAAAAGTCTGCTATTTAATGTTAATTCAGGGCTGTGTTAATACAGTGGCCTGTTTACAGTGGTCCAAATACTTTTTTCAGCTTGAGAGTATCATAATTTGTTATTTACCACAAAAAGTATGAAATAATACCTTTTTAAAAGCACAAAATAATAATGATACTCATAGACTTTTGTAAGTCCGTACTCTTTATTTGTCTCCTTTAAACTGTCAAACACCAAGCGGTCACCTATTGTTCTTTAATTGTGTCTATAAAACCGGTACTCGACGAGTTAAAATTGAATATACTCTATTACTTCTAAAAAAAAGTTGGCAACCCTAGGTGTAACATAATGACATATCTATGATGTACATAACTGTTGAGTTATAAATGAGTAAGACAGCGTGACGTCACTGTTTTATTATATTATTTATCTGCACAATCATATGTTTGTGTTATTTAAGGAAAATATATATAATACATCATTACACTCCTGTCTGTTGGAGATAGCATAATCTTATAGATTATATAATATTATATCTGTTTGTTTTATTATGAGAAAATCGTATCGACGAAATTGTTATGCGCATAACTTCTGGATTTATGCAGGAAATTAAATTATTCTAATTAAGTATCTTCTTATAAAAACCTTTCATACTTATAAAAAGTTTATTGTAAAAAATAAATATATATGTATATAAAAATATTGTTGAAGCACATTGTAACACAAAACTATAGCATTATAAAAGAATAATAAAATTAATAATTGTCCGAATGGTGGCCCGGAGGTTTAAGCCGCCCGCTTCTCATGCATGATGCAGATTCGAAACCTACCAACGGCACGTACCAATGTGACTTTTGCGAGTTATATGGACTTTCTGAGATTATCTAGACACCACTGACAAACGGCGAAGGAAAACATCGTGAGAAAACCTGGACTTATAATTTCTAATTATATGTTTGTAATCGCCAACCCGCATTGAGCAAGCGTGGTGATTAATGCTCAAATTTTCTCCGTGTGAGAAGAGGCTTTGCTCAGCAGGCTGTTGATAAATAAAATGAATGATGAATAGAACAGAACTGCAAGGAATATAAGGACTGCTATCCGTCTCATTGACGACCTAAATCAATTTACTATTTAAGGCCCCAGAATCACAAAATTCAACCTAACATAACATCACGCCTTTTATCCCCGAAGGGGTAAGCAGAGGTGCATATTACGGCACATAATGCCACTGAACAATGTAACACCAACTTTTCACTATTTATGTTATGAGTCCCATGTAATAGGGGGTGAGCCTAGTCAAAATATCTACATACATACATAACATGAATATGTATCAAATTATACAATTTACACACTAAATTATCATATTAAATTGTAGTGCGACCTCGAAACACGTGTGGTCAGTGAGTCAATAGGTTTATCTCTGCACGATTGTTGTAATTATCTGCACTAAATAGGTCGTATATATGCTAGCATATCAAACTATACTTGTCTCTCTAATTAAATTTATTTTCGACCTTATTGTAAAATTATTTTGGCTGAAAATGCAGTGAAGATAAGCTGGTATACCTTAAGCTAAGCCGTTTTAGGTAGGTAGGTATTCAATGTATTTTCGACCTTATGGTAAAGTGTTGGAAGTTGTAAATCTAGTTAAGATTGACTGGTGTATGTTGAGATGCCGTTGTCGTATGACCCTCACATGCCTAACTTATAACTATGTCGGTCATGTTTAGAATTGTACTGATAAAAATTCTGACTGGCGCATGGCGTTTACATACGATTTAAAATTATTTATTTTTAGTTTAGCTCCTTTTCCGTATTCTCAAATAAGATTATTTACCTTAAAGCGTATGGTTAGCTTAAAAATATAGTACTCACCAGTACTTTACATATAACAAAAACATAAACTAAATTACTAATCTATTGTTCACAGAAATGGAAGAAATTATCCATAATAAACTTCGCGAGCAACAACATCGACAACGTGGACTGGGCCATCAAATTGGTCCCTAGGCTACAACACCTAAGTCTCAGTTCAAACAAACTAAAAGAACTATGTGATATATCCTGCCTTCACGATTTGAGAGTCCTTAATCTATCCATGAATAGTTTCTCCATCTGCGAGAATTGGCACGCAAAAATAGGCAATATAGTAAGAATAGACCTGTCTCAAAATAGGGTCGAAAGCCTGCAAGGATTCTCGCGCCTTTATTCATTAGAAAGCCTCGATTTAAGCTGCAATATCATAACTGACGTTGAAGAAGTCCAGCATATATGTAAGTTACCGTGTTTAGAGTATCTGTGGTTAACCGCTAACCCAGTAGCGTCATCTATTGACTATAGAGTGAAAGTACTGGAACAGTTTAACGCTCGTATGACTGAGATCTGCTTGGACAATGAAAAGGCGTCTGAGAAAGAATTGGATACTGCAAGAGTGTTGCAAGCTTTAAGAGTCGTTAAAGAAGGTAAGACGCCAAGTTTTTTACAGAACAATAACACTAGCCATAGCTTTAATAAAAGTTGACAAGAAAATTGAACTTAGATCGTTGAATTTAGACTTTTTAATAAATTTATCGATTTAGTTTTTTTTTTCGCTATTGAAATGTATAAAAGATCTTTATTTTTAGTTGAATATTATATAAATTATTTTTTTGTTATTATATTTAGGTTTAAATTGCACTATTTAGTTGACGTAATTTAAGTGAAATCGTGTGCTTACTTTTTGTTTTTGACGATGATGAAGGACCCCTAAGTTTAAATTGTGATAATAATATATTATTATTGTAATACTTCTGTTCCTTCTTGATATTATTTTATGTGGAAGAACTGGGATACAATTGATAAACCTATATTGTTAACAAATTTGACATTTAAAAAATCTTCCCATGTTGATGTCCTGTGTTCGGTATGATGATGACGTTGACTTTTCTATTCGCTCCTTTAAGTGTTTAGACGCATATATTTTTTACCCTGTGGTAGATTGGTTAGACAGCTAGGAGGCCTAAGTTCCAACACAAAGTCTAAAGTACTAGGAACATACCTATAAAAGCCATTTTGAATCCAGTCTTTCCCCATATTTTTTTAAATATCTTTGATAAAACTTGTATAATAGAATTATCTCGTTTACAAATGTGATATTCGATAATCGTATAACTGATATATTTAAACAATTAATGGAAATGACCAACTAAGACTAGATTTGTAGGTTAAGGATCAGTAGAGATCAAAAAATAATAATTTGCATTCGATAATAAACTTTTTTGTGTACGTGTAAGTTGCAATTTTGCACTGTAGCAATTACCAATTACGCACGCAGGTATGAAAATTAGTGCAAGGGATTTTAAATCTTTGTGTCTTAAATATAAAGGTGTAATTGCCGAGTAAGTTTGAATTCTTTTTATCCTGTGCGGTTACTTTGACCTAAATGTTCAATAGTAAACCCACTCAGCAGTGGGTCACGGGGTATTAATGCAGATAATAATGATGGGTTTAGAGTTTGGGGTCCAAATAACCCGAATAAGGTAGTTTCCTAAATTTTATTTTAATGTCCGTCTGGTACATTAATTTAAAATTTTAAACACATATTTTCTCTTTTCTCACAAAATTAAATACTAATTTAGATATATTAATTTCAAATATCGTATATAACATCACAGCGTGCGTGCGACATTTTGTAGCACGTTATGACGTAACAACCTCCCACTCCTAAACTTAGCGCCATTTTATCTAAGTATTGCAACTTAATACGAGAAAATAAAAAAATACGTGTTTAATATTTTTTCATTATCTAACTGACGGACTAATTAGATTTTTAATATTGATACCCTGGAAACTACCCAATTACCAACGGTATATTGTTCTATACTGATCCATGACTATTTATAAAAAATCGATAATTTGTAAATAATTGTCTTTATATTGCTTTCTAGTTAATAGTGCGCATTCCTGAATGCATTTTGACTAGCAAATATTAAAATTTAAGGAGTTTAGCAAAAGTGTCCTTTTAAATTTGTCTACACGAGTTTATGATGATAATAAATAAAATAATTGTTAATATTTAATATGACCCTATTTACTTTTTTGTATGTCATACATAACTAAAACCCTCGATTTTTTTTAATCTAGACATTAAATTACATTTTAATTGTGAATTGTATACCAATTATAAGAATTGACAAGAATTATCCAAGTAACGTATAGTAAATTATCTGTCACAAATATTTATCCTACTTTATCATTGTATTACGAGTTAAAACGGCGAAATCGATATATCGATAATAATTGTTTTCATTGCATTTTTCATAGTTAGATTATAAAATATGTTTTGTAAAATTCGCTGAAAAAATCTGGAAATAGTAATCCTTTCGACGCCGATTGTATATCTATGTGCAATTGTAATTTGTGTCTGCCTATCCCTTAACCTTTTGAACGCCAGAGCAAAAACGCATGAACTTGCCCTCAACGCCAGGCCACAAATTCACCGCAAATACCTACGAAAAAAATAGGGATTCCAAAACTTCATCGATAATCAATTTTATTTTCATTTTCGTCTTTAATTTCGAAATATAATGTCCTTATAACATTGAAATTTAATTCAACATTACATTTCTTCCTATTAAAGTAATAGTTATACACTATTTACAGACTTGTATAATACCGTAATAACAGATATGAGACTACAATATATTTAAATATAATAACTGTAGGTACAACACTATTCTTGATCTGCTGTCTTCATATTGTGACCATGGCGTGGACAGCCCGCCATTTTAATAACTACTTCGCTTCCGAAATAAGGATGTGGCAACGTAATATCTCGTTTATCGATGTTCTAGTACAATATTATTTTATAATAAATGGAACACGTTTTTTAAATCAGATTTATAATTCCGAATGTAACAGGTACTTAAAAATATATGATTGAAATAGGTTAAGAAGGTAAATAAAAACTATGAAAAAATAGAAAATTTTAATAAAATGTTATACAGTATGTACTATGTATACATGTTTTTAAATATTAAGTTCTATAAACCTGGCATAAAAAGTAACAAATTAAAACAATTAACGATTATATATAATTATCACGATTACCAATCAGTCTTATACTAATAAATCTTTTGAATAATAGAACAAAATTATCGAATTAGATGATCAGAATGCAACCTGCATTCTGATCATCTAATTCGCTGGGTGCAAAGTGGGTGGTGGGGACAGTGAAATCGATCTCAGCGCGCACCGTGGCTAAAAAAGGAACTTTTGGCAGACTTTATTCCACGAAGTTATAGGTAAATATGGAGCCCACACTTAGTATAAAAGTTTCGAGTCAAATACTCTCGCTCTTCTTCCGTAGTCATTAAATTCCCACTCATTATAATAGTCACTTAATATAAATCTTGAACTCGATATCACAAGTAAATTAATCATAAATATTATTCATTCACTTCACTAATTTCTGGTCGCCGCGCTTGTGACGTCACGATATTGTCGTCTAGTCGTGACCATGGCGTACAGGGTACTGATAATTCGGGTTGCGTTAGGGATGCGCTTGAGTTGGGATTAGTGAATATCGAAATTCGACCCAACCAAATTTTATTTTTGACTATGTAGCTTATTGAATGATTTTTAAGACTGGTTTTATAAAATTAATGCTGCTTTATCCTAGTACCAAATTATACCTAAAATAATATATTCCAGAGGAAAGTTTCGAATCGATCTTTGATTTGAAATAATGATATTATCCAACATGCGCTACATCACTAGCGGTCACGCAGTTATGACTCTGGCGTGTGAGGACATTCTTTTTTCAGAGTTTATTTCTTTCTTTTTAACGTAAAATTTCTCAATATTTATAATGCAATTTAATTAGTTTTATGGAAATAAATAAATTTTGGACCTTCTATTTTACAGGTATATAAATAAATAGGCATTAAAGTAATGTTTAAATAGTTTATTTCGTGTTTTAATGTACCGCTGTTTTTGTCACATATTTGTGTCGTTGGCGCTCAGGGACAGTTTTCGCTTGTCACGTATTTGTGACCCTGGCGCTCAAAAGGTTAAAGGACTAAAAGGCGTGACGGCATACTATATTATTATGTCTTTAGTTTTATTTTAATAAGATCATGTTTCCACACTCAAGTTGACACGAATAGATACTAAATATAAATATCATCTAATGAGGTTACAAGTGCAAAGATATAAAACTTATGTTTTGTAATTATTATTATTACCTACTAACGGGTATTTAGTTCATTTAGTCCGCTATTTAAAATACTAGGGCACGGATTATACCATTACAAATTGTAATTTTACTTTTTAAACTGTCAAACACCAAGCGGTCACCGGTGACCGCGACCTATTGTTCTTTAATTGTGTCTATAAAACCGGTACTCGACGAGTTAAAACTAAAGTTTGTATAAGTATGTACTCAGACTACTAAGACTGCCTCGTTGGCCATGTGGTCGCAAGTGTGGCCACCAAGGTCGGGCAAAGAATATCTAGGTTAAAAAAGAAAATTTCAGTAGTAGCACGAAGTCTAGAATTGTGCCCGGTATATGGCAATAGATTCACCCCCTATTATATGGGACTCATCATAACATAAATATTGAAAAGTGGGTGTTACATTGTATAGTGGCATTAAGTGCCGTAATGTGCAACTCTGCTAACCCTTCGGGGATTAACTCGTCGAGTACCGTATTTATAGACACAATTAAAGAACAATAGGTTGCGGTCACCGGTGACCGCTTGGTGTTTGACAGTTTAAAGGTAAATAAGTGTTGAAGTTTTTGGGAATATTCTGAGCCTTTATACCTAAGTAGGTACCTAACCTACCTACCTGTTGTATATAACTACTGACTCACTATTAATAACTGTTGGTTTTATGATATAGTGTCTTATAAATAATGATGAAAAGAGTAGTAGCTAAGAGAAGGGCATTAATACCTGCTACAGCAACTTTTAGTAACAGGACCTTTTGTAATGTAAACGATTGAAAATAATCAAATGTGGTCTTTATTTCTATATAAATAACGTCCACAATAACAGCGTTCAGATTTTTTTTTTCATAAATTCTTCGTTCGGGACCATTTTTTTTATTTTCTTGTACCTACTCTTTGTAAATATGCCTTTTCACAATATTGTAATATGTAATAAAATATGGCCACGCTATGTGTCTCTCTGTCTAACATAGTATGTGTGAACGAGAGGCAAATAAGAAAAACTAAGAATTTTGTTGTATGCCTAATCTAATAACTTTATGATTGAAAATTGTTTAATACAGACTTCAAACGTTGGCCTGTTGGCACCAATGTGATTGGTCTCAATGTTGGAAAACTAGTCTAGGTACTAGCATTGGATTTTTGACTTTATGTCAAAACAATAAAGTTGAAAATCCAATAAAAAAGAAATTATGTACGCGTTTCCACCAACAGTGGGCCCAACGTGTGGAGCCAGTATAATGCTAAAAGCACTAATTGTTTACTACTAGTATTAACTCAAGTATTAAGTATGTGATCGAAATATTTGTAT